ACGGGATTCACCTGCCTACCACCTATTCCGAAGAAGATAAAGACTGCCCTATCGGCCAAAAATTAGATGACCACTCTTTTCTAGGATTCACAAGGTGTGATATATACCGAATACAAGTAGAAGGGCTCTACTATGCCGAAATATTAGGCGGATTCGATGCCGAGTTGCAGAATAACGAAAACCCATCCACCAACTTTTTTAGATTTAGCTCCGCGCGGCTTCTTTTAGTTTCAAATGCAATGATAGAGATTCACTGGGTCAAGTGAAACGGCGACTATGTCAAGAATAAATAGAATTATTTCTAAAAATTTTACTTTTTTTGTAGGCTAGTACTTATCGGTCCGTCCTCATATCTGTACGTAGTCCACTGAGTAGCACGAAAAGCGCAAATTGGTTGGCAAGCAAGTCAAGCAGCAGTTATGAAGTTGAAATTTAGCTGCAGGCAAGTTGTAAGATATACAAAAATATGGCAACGCACAGTCGGAGGATATGTAGTTCGAAATGATGAGCGCAGCACCAGTTGTAGTACCACTAGAAACCACACCTACCATCCAAAGCAAACTGGAACCGCATCATCAACATCAACTAGACTCGCCTCAAAGCTTACGAGTTGTCTACTGCTAGTAAGTAAATATATTTTATGAGTAAATGAAGGGGCAAACAAGCGCGCAAGTAAGTTTGCGATGCAAATTTAATTTTAACGAGCCAAACGAAAGAGCTGCCCCAACCACGGACCACTGGAAAAGACATAAAGATATATGAAAATATTTATGTAGAAGAAGATATGTGGACCTGTAGGTAAATGTACTGTTTAAGATTTTATAGGGTGGCTCATATTACTAAAAACTTAATGTGCTTGAAATTAGGAGTTTCTTATACAATTACTTCATTATATTATATACAACAGTATTTTCTTTACGAATTTTTCTCTTATTCTCTTTTAGCTTCTGCTCACATGTGCCCTTCTGCAGAACCTATATTTTCTAGATTTCTCTATATTAACTCAGTTCTCAATTCTACAGTCTAACCAAGTACTTACTGCATACCCAAACATTCGACTTCGTTGATTTTCAGCAGTATTAAGATTTTCCTATAACCTCGTAAAAAACTTGGTCTAAAGAACTGGGTTTTTGGTATATTTTTGAAATAAAATCCATTATATAACAAAGCTCTTATGAAAACTTATATATGTATAACTCGGCAAAGGCAAACAACGGATGAACTCTGACTTCAGAGCAAGCTCTTGAAGCATTTGAAAATTTTGAATTTGGCCTTGTCTTATAGGCTATAGGCAAGTGAAGATGGTAAAGAGAAAGTTCTACGACTATCGAGTTTAGAAATGATACTAAATCGGATTGATATCTGCCCTAGAACCATCAGCTCGGCTGAATTCACTGAAATTTTAAGGGAAATATTGAAGGAAATAGCATAAGAATATAGCTCAGGCAAGTTCTTCGTATCTAGTGGTAATGTTAATCAGCCGTGCTCAAAATATTTAGTTGACGAACCCATCCGGCAATAATGTCAAAAAAATGCTTCAACAACTTTATTTTCAGAATATCAAAAATCAAATGTTAATCAGTAAAAAAATGAATATTCTATGAATGACAAAATAAGTGAAACATAATCATTTTTTTAACGCCATTCCAACTGAACAACCATATAGGGAACTAGAAGACAATCCCTGGTGTGATCATCTTGAATATAATATTTTTCTTATAATGGGGCTAAGCACTCCTGATAATAAATATTTTAGTTTATTTCCTTTGTTGTTTTTGAAAATATAGAAGGTTTAAAGCCACCCATTATAGAGTAGAAATATTCAATCATAAATTTGAAGCATGTATTTTTAAAGGTAAGAAAACACGTTCCTTAAGCAATAGCTTAAGCTAGTGACCAGTATGCGGGATGAACAAGTGCTGCGCTCTCTCAACTGCTACCTTAAATAAAAATTATAGAATAAAACCATAAGGTAACTTCACTCACCATGCATCACCGGTTGCAACCAACAACCACAAAAAGTTTTGTGCAAATAGCAACGAAATTTGCCGAGAAATACACGAATATTGACATAGATGAAGAACTGAAAAGCAGCTGGAGAACGTAAATGCCCTGCGACTTTAGACTTGTATATGCATATCTATATGCCAATATATACGAGATTCGTATATGACTTGTAGCTACAAACAGTTTGGAGAATTTCTAAGCAATGCCGCTTCCAGCTGGTTTCGGGCGAAGCAAATGCCAAAGGCTCTGACACTTGGCTGAATATCCGAATAACAGCTAAGCGCATTCTGGCTTGATTCTCGAGCGTGTGGTGGCTTATGCCTGTTGCTTTTATGTATTTGTTTTTGTGGTTTTTTGGTTTTCGGTTTCTACTCTACACAATTCAAACTAAATCAGAAAACTAGTGAATTAAATATTTATAACCTTTTGGTATTAAACCAAACAATTTCTCAATTTTTTTTTTTTTTTTGATATTTAGTTGTAAGTAAAAAAGTAATTTCTTTGTTTATCGAGGTTAGCTTGCAAAATCGAAATATTTGCCTTCGAAGTTCGATTGATATGGAAAACATCATTATTAACATATGTATTATGCATCGTACACATTTTCCGCTTCTTTCAATTGCTTGTATATTTTATATTGCAATAAAATTTGAAAATTTTATATCGTTGTGAAGGTGATTCGTTGCGGGAGCTTTGGCTAACCTTTGATTACATATTTATTTTTCACGATGATAGTTGCTGGTTATGTGAAATTCCCTCGCCTTTCAGATGTCAAGAAAATGTAATGAAGTGAATGTAGTATTGGATGCCACGAATATTATAAGTTGACGAGCTCTGTCAGCCCGTGGTCGGCTTCTGTAAAGACCGGAATGGAAACCCCGTTAAGAGGTACCCAGGGTAAACTCCAAATTTAAGTTGAGTTGAGACTCCAATGCTAAGCTGTTTAAGGCCTAGCTGCTAAATATGATTTGATTTGATGTATACATGGCCAATGATTGGAATATGAGTGTTCTCTGCCCTATTCACAAGAACGGAAATCCCGCAGTCTGCGCTAATTATAGGGAGATCAGCCTTACTAACATTGCATATAAGGTTCCTTCGATAGTATTGTGTGGAAGACTTAAACCTATAGTAAGTAAACTGATTGGATTTATCAGTTTGGATTTAGACCTGGCAAATCCACCATAGACCAGATTTTCAAAATACATCAAATTCTGGAGAAGACCCTTGACAAACAGATCGACATCCATCACCCTTTTGCTGATTTTAAAGCCGCTTTCGGAAACACCCTATTCGATGCCATATCTAAATTTGGTATCTTTGCGGAACTTATATTGTTATGCAAATTGCCGTTGTGCACAACCATCAGCTCCGTCAAAATTGGGAAAGCCTTCTCCGAGCCGTACCAGCGATATTTAAGACAGAGGGATTCCCTCTTGCGCGTCTACTTCAATACAGTGGCGCCGTTTACTCTAACAATACAATGCTACTAGGGATAATGATATTGACATCGTAGGCCTTAGCAACAGAGCTGTCAGCGCAGCCTTTTCTAGCTCCAGAAAAAGAAGCGAAAGAGATTGGCTTTGCGGTAGACTAGGGCAAGACAAAGTACCTGAAGATTTGAAAAAGTTAAGGGTGCTACTTTAGGATCAACAGGCAATTGAGAAGCAGATCTCTTTCTCGTCAAATAAAAATTTTGCTCTATAAGTCTCTCATTATGCTCGTCATATTATACAGCGCAGAAACATGAACGATGGACGAACGAACTGAGATAAGAAATCACTTGGAGCATTTGAGTTCTCCGCAATGTCTTTGGAGCTGTTCGCGTGAGCAATGAATACTGAAGAAGATGGAACCACGAACTCTAAGAGCTCTACGGTGACATGGATATAGTTAAGTGCATAAAAGTTCAACCACCAAGTACATAGTGACCTGTCTGCACTTCGGATGTACAACTGGCGGGACCTCGCAAAAGATTGAGGCAACTGGCGAAGTTATGTGTTCTCGGTCCAGACCGACCGACGGTTGTAGTTTCGTAGAAGAAGACGACGAAGAAGAGCACTGTGAAAATTTCATACTCATTGCCTTAGAATGTAATTATTCTCATACGTATATAAAGCTTGAAAATTGTTTGTCACTTGTTGCACTATCCTTCCCTTCTAGATGATTACAGAGATGATATGTATCGTATATTATTGTAGTTCTATATTGGAAAAAATTCAACTTCACATGTGACATTTCCGGTTAGTTCAGATAAATTGTTTTGTCAAATGCCTAAAGAAATTACTTGCTTTAATGTAAGGAGATTTGGTATATTGTTGCTTTCAAACTTTTCTTCTCAACATTACGCATACAAATGTCAGCCGAAACTCTCTGTGTGAATTAGAAAACAACAATGTGAATAAAATAAGTCAAACTGATTACAGGACAAAATCACTGACATAAGCATCATCATTATGTAACGGAGTCGCAAAAGACATATGATTATTGCCCTACTATTGCTTGGGGTGTTTGGCCAAATAATTAGCCAAAGCATGGAGGCAATTCATAACCATGAACTCACATATATTTAATGGTTGTTTTATTTGCTTCTTTGTAAGTAGACATTCGGGGCTCTGTTTGCCAGAATCCTGGCGGCCATCATGTTCGCCCAAATTGCCAAAGTATTTCCATTAAGTGCTGCTAATTTAGGCGATCTCTTCTATTCGACGGGTTGTGTTAGTTTCACTTGAGGCGCGCAAAGTTTGGCTTGACTTTTTAACTGCCTCAGGCAAAATACTGGCACGCTTTAACTATCAAAGGATAACGATGCAAATTTGGGAACTCGCCAAAAGCTTTAACTGTTGCTTTACATATCTATATATATTTGTATATGTATAAGTATAGATTTAGTACAATAAGTAAATGTAATGGCAAAGATAAGAGATCTAATATGGAAACCAGCAGCTTCTTATTGCAATCAAGAAAATTTATAATTAAATTTGTATACTTACTACCATATATAATATATTGCCATATAATTCTCAGTATGCCAGTGTATTTTCGTGCCGATTCCTAGAAAGCAAAAAATAATAATGCTTAATAGAGAATAGAATAGCTGATGTATCACGTATGTCTATATAAACAACAAAAAATATGATAAATTTAATTCTACTCAAACTTTAAGTACAGACTGTATCGCAAATAATTTAAATATTTTATATTACTTTTACATTTAATTTTTTTTAATTTTTCTTTCTTCCCATAGGTAGCAACTCTGGCACGAAATATGTTAAAATTAAACCCAGAATATATTATATATTATTCAGTTTTCAAAGATGGTTAGGTTAAAAGGTAGTTTAGTGGATCTCATATGTTCCGCACTAGTTCAGATGGATCTCGCACTCGCACAGGAGGTAATTGCCCAGCGCTAGAACGCAAGAGCGCAACAGAAATCGTTTCTAATCCGATGTAATCGTGGTAAGGATGCACTGTTTGGCGAGCAGTTTTTGCGTTTGCGTACTTCATTTAAATTAAAAAATTAAATTTTTAAATCCCGATGTTGGGACTAAAAATTAAAAACCTAATTTCCAATCACGAACGTTCGGAATTAAAATAGAAAATTTTATTTTTTAATTTGAATGAAGTACGCAAACGCATAAAAATTTTATTTTAAAACGATGATTATTTTCGATTCTTATTTACATATACATATGCTTTGGACTAAAAAATTTTTTTTTACAACTCGATTCGTCACTCTTTTCTTCGATATATTGGATAACTGAAGGCAGCAAATATCACAAGAATATTTTGTTAAATTTAAGCTGCTGAAATAAACAAGCTTAATGTTAGAAAACTTCAGATTATTTGGATGAAAAATTGAAGATAAACATTCCAGTTTTTTCAAGAATATAGTTACTTCCAAGAACGGAATCCTACTAATATTTTATTTTATAAATAAAAGTAATCTTCTGACTTATAACACAATTCTTTGGTATTTAAATTACAAACATTGTTTTCTAGAAATCCCTGGGACTTAGATAACAACGTTTTAGACGGTTAGATTAGTTAGTATATATATTTAGTTACTACATACACAGTTACTTGTATATATATGCTACACTTTTATACAAATATATATATATATATATACATATTACTCTAGGTATACAGATGAATGTGGATCTCTGACAAATAGCATATATAAACAAGTAAGGGCTAAGTTCGGGTGTAACCGAACATTTCATACTATTACAACTTGCAGGGAATAAATGCGGAGGAACACCTTCAGCTTTTGGCAAATCTTTATGGTACATCAAACACATGTTTGTTATGTGTATTTTTGGAATGTCTAATAGAAATGTTTAACACACCAAATTGGGTTGAAATCGGTTGAGAAGTTCCTGAGATATAAGATTTCACCTAAAGGTGGGCAGTGCCACGAACTTTGTCAATTTTTCACACCAGAACGTATTAAAGCTTTCTCTACCATCATGGTTGTGTAATTTAATGATTGTGGCTCATTTATTCATTTAGTTATCGCTCTTTTAGTAGTTTTTAACATAACCGTTATCTGGGGAATGGGCGTGGTTATTATCCGGTTTTTCCATTTTCTCAGAGTTTAAAGACGTGATAAAATGAGTTCTTCTCAACAAGTAATTTTGATATATCTTAAGCGGCTTGCAAGATATATATGCTAAATCATATAGGGGGCGAGGCCACAGTTTCGTATCTTAATTTGCGACTTATTTATGACATTTTAGAAGTTTTCGTTTAATGGCGATTTGTGGGCAAGGCAATAGTCCGATGCCGCCTATTTGCAATACCGACCTCTCTTGGATGACAAGGAATGTGCACCAAGTTTCAGCGAGATATCTCAATTTTTACTCAAGTTATTGCTTGCACGGACAGACAGACGAACGGACGGATGGACGGACAGTTACCCGGATTTCAACTCTTATCTCATCCTCATCATTTATGTACATATATATAACACGATATCTATCTTGATTAATTTGGGGTGGATACAAACAACCGTTAGGTGAACAAAACTATTATACTCTATAGCAACATGTTGCAAGAGTTTAAATATACAACAGCACTCAAGCCATACCACAGGCTTGAAGAATGATAGTCGCATGCACACACACACAAACCAACTTAATTATTGCCAACAACAACGCGGACGAGCCCAAGGCGAATAATGTTGACGCTCGTGGTGTCTAGGCTGCTAATGATAGCACGAATGTGGCAGCTGTGAATGGCGAGTTTTTGCTGATAGACAGACAGTCAGCTGATGGCCTTGAGAGTCTCTTCAACACTTGTCGCTCACGTTCTTCAAGCGCATGGCGACGATGATGGTTAACAAGACTTAGTTTAGTGACTTAGTTTGCTGTGAACATTGTGTTGCAAGGTACACGAGTTGAATGATAATTGTAATCAAGGTGAAATCATTGTTGAGGTCATATTGAAAGTGGAGAGTACAAAATAATACATCGTATGTATGTGTTTACATTTTGAGATTGGGTTTAGAGAAATAATATGGGGATATCAGTTAATTAATTTGTTATATGTTCCAACCTAACGGAGCGAATTTTATTATGCTTTCGAATTTTAAAGAGACCAATTAGTTAGGTGTCTACAGCGAACTTCGGGATAGAGAAAGAGTGAAATATGGTTGATAAAAGACTTTTATGAAGACAGTCTTCATGCAGAAAAATAGCAAAATGATGTTTATAAAACAAGTAAGAAAAAGCTGAGCTCAGGTGTAACCGAACATTTTATAGTCTCGTAATTTGCAAATTAAAAAACCTCACATATTAACAAATATATAAGGTGCAAAATCAAGCGGATTATTTGGTATATGGAGACTAGGGAAAGTATTTCCCAAACTTCATCCATTTTAGGCAAGAGAATACATTGTTATTAGAGAGAGATTTTTTTTTGAAGTTCATTAAGATTCCTTACATATTATTACATATAGGTATGCGTTATTAAGTCAACTGAAAGTTCGAAAATTATTGACCCGATTATGCAATTTTTAGCACAAGGGCATGCTGTCATCACAAAAATATTCTCCCCAAATTTCAATAGTAGAACCCACAAATTGATCGTTAAAAAAATAGCAGTAACCACTGGGCTTCACATATTTGGTGTGTGGGTCTTAAAAAAGTTAAAAGTTAAAACGACAATTTTGGGACGTTAGATGAAATGCCTTGAGGGCACTATTTGCGCAAAGTCTAATTCTGACAACTTCATTGATGCTTTATTTGTAACATATACTGTAAATTGAAAAAAAAACAGATAGAATATAGAAACTTGTTATGTCGGAAGAAGGCGTGGTTGATATCGGATTTCGTTCACTCCCACTTTTAATTTTAATTCTTAGCTTATTTTTAGCTTACAAGTGTTGCCCGCTACTGTGATCCCTTGTACCAAATTACAGTTTTGTATCTTACGGTAATTTTGTGCATAGTTAAGGCACTTAATATGTTTTCGTTTAGCGGCACTTTGTGGGCGTGGCAAAGGATCGATTCCGCCTGTTTACAATACCAACAATCCTTTGGTATCAGAAAACACGTGTAACAAGTTTCTTAAGATATCTTAATTTTTACTCAAATTTTTGCTTGCACAGACAGCCAAACGGACAGACAGACAGTTACTCGGATTTCAACTCGTCTTATTATCCTGATCATTTATATATACATAACCGTATATCTAACTCGATTAGTTTTAGGTGATACAAACAACCGTTAAGTGAACAAAACTATTATACTTCCTGTTGCACCTTCACCACCATTTTTATACATATAATATAGAAGTATAATAATATCTAGGAAACTAATTAAATTGATTAAAAATATATAAAATATTTTGGCTTTGTTTCATCGAAATTTTATTTCAAATAATAACCTTCAGTCGCAAAAGTTTATTTAGTAAAACAAGTGAACTGAATTCAACTGAGTGAGTTCAGCTCAGCCATATTTTCTTGCATTTATTTTCACTGCATTTTCATGCGTTGTCAGCGTCTTCAACTTTAGTTTTATTGCTTTCTCTGTGTCAAACGTTCGAAAACTTTCAGCATTTCTTATTTATTTGCGCTCCTTGCTACACAACAACAACAAGGACAAAAAACAGAAATAACGCAGCATAGTTGCTGCTTCTCAAATGTGGACTGCATGTGTCCGACAATGTCTGGTGCGCAGTTTGTCAACACAATTTTTACGACACTTGCCATCTTTTGTATGCGTTCAATGTTGCGTATACGTCGTGTAGCACCCACTCGAAATCAACAATGAAGCACAGATTCATCAACGAAATAACTATGAAAGCGAAATAGCAATGGCATTTTAAACATTAGCGCTCCTTGATACTTTCTTGAAATGTCGGTTAAATCGCTTTAAATATTGGATGACTTGTTGCATATCTGCAAGTGCTATTATTGCTAAATCGTTATGAGTTTTCAAGTTCAATAAGCAAAGCAATAAAAAGCAGCCACAAAAGTGCCATAAATACTTTTGTTTTGTAGCGCCAAAGTTTCACGAAAAAAGGAAAACCCAAAATTTAAAATAAATATAACTTTTGAGCGAGAGAGAATGTAATAAATAAGGCAGCTCAGCAAAGGAACAGCTTGCTCGATGGCTGTTGTGCGTTTGTATGCACGTCTAAAATTTTTTGTTCGCAATTTTGGATTTCAACTTTATGCTGCGGATATTGCAGAAGTTCTAAGTCAGCCGCAATAAAATTAGTGAGCGCACATGACTTAATAGAACTCATAAACTTTTAAATTTAAGCACGAAAAATGCGTTAAATGAATCATTTAAAGCATAGAAGTGATAATTTCTAGTAAAATTGTTTAAGGTAAGGTGAAGTGAAGGTGTAAGTGAAAGTAGGAGATAGGTTAAAAATAGATAACAATTTTGTAAATGAAAGCACTATTGCTCAATAATTAATGAAAATATTTATTCCTAATTTTTATTTCAAAACTAATTAAAAGGTTGCCACTTGTTTGATAGTTTTTATAAAAATATTAAATATTCAAACAAAATCTGCAGTAATGCAAGAAAGTTCACACC